TCACTTCAACACCTTTTTCACCTAATCACAAACCAAAACATCCTAAAACAAGAACCATCAAATTGGTGTCTAAAATTCATGAGCCGAGGAAGAAATCACAAATATGGCACGGAACATACCGACCCGTTACATCGTCCCCATGTGATGTACAGGCTACAGCAGATAAAGCAGTTGTCATGGATGCATTTGACTTTCCACAAAAAAGGTCTGGTTTTCAATTACTAATAGAACCTGACCCCCAAAAGGTCCGCTTTTTATTTGGCTTGTAATCTTTTTTTGCATCTGGGTTTATCTTTGTTTGTAGTCGTTGGTCAGACCATCATCTTCATCTTCGTTTTCTCAGAAAGTATGGTTGTATAAGGTATCTGGTTCCATTCTAAACCATTAAAGATGATTGTGGTGATGAATGCAGTGGTTCGTTGGTGTAGACAGATGTGTATGTGTGTGTTTTCTCTGGTGATGTCAAAGAGTTGGTGTGAACGATAGTAGTGGTGAGTAGTTCTCTTATTTTTTCAAAAAATCGATTGTCTCCTTCTTGAGATCAAGAACATTAAGACAAATTTTGAACCTGCAATCGAGATATCAACAAAAGTCATGTGATCCTTAACCTAAAATACCTTTTACCTTGGCCTTAAATCTCTATAGTAATGAAGAGTTGGAGAAGGGGATTCGAGGAGAAAGAAAGAACTGAGAAATAGAGGATTTGATAGGTAGATTTGAAAGAGAAAACTCAAAGATTTACAGTCACCATCTCCTGTGACCGAAGGTATCGAGCAAACACTCGAGAGATACAGAGACCAACGTTATGGAGAAGACCGAGAAAGAAGGAGACGAAATCGAAGGGAAGGAAGTTGACATCGTCATTTTGGGTCGTTGATCAGAGCTCTCATCGGAATTTGTGGAAGAGAGAAAGAGGTAGGGAGACCAGTTGGTGGGTTTTGTCCTTCTGACCCCAATTCGAGAGAGAGGGAGAGAGAGAGAGGTAGGGTGGATAAGTGGGCCCACTTTTATATTTAATAACTAGTTTATAACCCGTGAGAACCACGGTTATAAAATTAATTAAAATTTCATATTAAAAAATCAGAATTATTAATCAATTATTTTAAATAAATTATTACTTAAAATATATTTTTTTAGTTATATAAAATTATAATCGTTGATTTAAATAAATACGTGAAGTTATATCACCTTATTAATTTTATTTTATTTTTCAATGTAATGTTATTAATTTAATATAATTAGAGTGAGGAAATTTAAAATTTGAAATTTAAAATAAAGAATCAATTTTTATTTTAATGTAGTTAGAGTGGGAAATTTAAAAATTATAATTTGAAATGGATAATCAATTATTAATTTAATGTAATTAGAGTGAAAATTTAAAATTTAAAATTTGAAATGAATAATTAATAGGTTGACAAGTGGCATGATAGATGATATATAACATTAATGAGGAGTTCTAATTGTATGACACTTGTCAATAGGAGATTAAACCTATTCTTTTATTAGAATAAGGATGATAATAATAATATTAAAAAGTGAAAGAAAAATGAAAAATAAAATCATTAAGGGTATAATAGTTTTTTTAGTTTGGTCGGGGACCAAAACTGCAAACAAACTAGCTCAAAAGGACTACCAATCAAAAAAAGTCAGCGTTTGGACTAAAACCCCAAAAAATTGCATACCACAGGGACCATTTTTGCAATTTTGTCATTATCTTATAAATTGAACTTTATTATTATAGGGGTACAGAACTTAGGATTACTCTGTTTAGATTTCAAGCTCATTAACTAAGTGATTTTTTGACAAAAAACACGGATGTTTCATTTGTTATCATAATCGTCCAGTTTGTTGCCCTCAATACTTGGAATGGTTTGTGTATAAAGAAGTTTTTAGAAATTTATATGTAGTTTATACAATATTGTTTATTATAATGTATTTTGGTTTTTAAAAACACTTTATTGTTAATTTTGATTTGTAATTTGTTATATTTTTGATATATTTTTGTTTCAACAACTTTATTTTCCATATATCTATTTTAATATACTTCACTTGTCGGTGTTGTTTTATTTTTTATAATTATAATATAATTAATCTAATATTTAATCATACAATATTATTTTTGTCATTACTTCACAAATAAAATATAGCTTCAAAAATAATGTTAAATATTTATTTAAATCAATGATTATAATGTTACATAAACAAAAAGACATAACTATTCTAATTAAGTTTTTATTTAAAATGATTGATTAACAATTATAAACCTTTAATATAAAATTTTATTAAAAAAATCACATGTGGTTTCCACAGGCTATAACCGACATGTGCATCGACAGAATTGAGTTAGTTACATATAAATATTTGAGTGGTCATTAAAATACTATTTCTCACACTTTTTCCATTCCTCATAACCACACATTTTAAAGTTACAACAAGATGGCCACCAACCCCGCAAATTAGTGACCTTTAGTTCGCGGTTTAAGGTTACCAAAATGCAAACTTTAAATCTAAACACATGCTCTCTTTCAACCCTAAGAAAAAGGAAACTGCAAATAGACCGTCAATTATTTGTAACTGATGTTTGTTGAAAAACATGACATCACAACAAGTGTCATATTTTAGATTTATATGTTGGTATTGTGTTTTGTTCAAAATGAAGAACCCTTGTTTGCATTGTGTTTTGTTCAAAACAAAGCTCGTAGATTTATTTATCATTCACAAATGATTAAAATTTTGGTATTCTACTTCATCTCTATCCCAAGAATCCGAAGTATCATTGTTGCTGTTTGTAGAGATAAAAATATTTTTAATTTAACAAACAATTTTTCTAAAAGTATCAAATAATAATATTTTTGTTGATAGTACCAAAAGACAGTATTAAAAGTTACAAATGATAATATTATAATAAACATTAAATAATTTAATAAAAATAATTTTTCGTCATCCAAGAAATCTAGATAGTTGATGGTAGTCTGATATATCAGGAGCATGTGGTTGAATTCATAAGGGTGAATGTAGGAATTTATAGGGTTTGTGGTGGAGATCTGGATACCAACTTGGATCGTGAGAACACTTTCCGAACTGATATTTCTACCATATGTCTGGGTTACAAGAAATTCAGCCTAGGATAATCCAAGTGGACACTTACGATTCTAGGCACATAAATCGTAAGTCAATATGCTAGAGAGATTCTGTGAGAGCTTGATGAAAACGAGAGCTTAAATTCGTAACCCTCTTCTGAGAAGGAAGAGTCGTTTATATATTAAACGAGATTAGAGTTTTATTAGGGTTGGGCCGTCATTAGTTGCTTTGGAAGCAAGTCAGAATAATCCGAATTTAATGAGGATTTAGGGTTATCAAAACTAACGAGTTTTGTTAGTTTTACCATAATCACCCTTAAGAAATTGAATTTTTCACTATGTCCACATATGTAAAATTCGGTGAGGTTTTGGGGCACTGCCCCTTTGGAAACCCCGGACCCAGGGGCGTTGCCCCCAGACCCCCGACTAGTCGTCAAACCGACTTCTAATTTGATCTTATATATATGTGCACTCCGCACAACCCCATACATATATTAGAGTACAAATTATGAAGCAATTTAGCTCACATGTTAGTTCCAGTTACTTAAAATGACATGATGACACTAAAATCACCAACAGTGAACTGTATGGATGATTGTCACAACAATGTTGGCAAGTAGGATCCGTATAGGTAATGCAACATCCATTTTTGCAACACTGAAAATTTTCCCAATACCTTCTGATAGCCCTCTCTCGACCAAGGTAGAAGTAGGGCAAACAATGATGTTTAGGCCTAGTAGAAAACTCAGCACTAAGGACATAAAGTTGATTGGGTCATGTTGAACCAGTGGAATCACTCGAAGGACGCTTAGGTAGCACATCCATATATACCTTTGTTAGTAGATTTTCTAGTCGTTTGAAATATACGCACCATTTTTAAACAATTATAAGTTGTTATTAGAATCGCAATTCCCATCGATAGAGTTTACATCATTCCTCGCGCATAACTTTAGGCTACTAGTAGATAGCGGTGATCTTTACTATGAAAATCATAATGCTTGCATGGTGAAGATGATAATATTAATTCCTCATGGATTCTAAATAAAGTCTGCAAATCGATCACGAGACTACGAGAGTCCTTTTGCGATGACATTGATAACAATCGCATGTGGAAGATTGTACACATTAATAATTTGTGAATGAAATAAATGTCACATAAAAAGTTATCAAAATTTGATTTTGTTTGAAAAATCATAGTGAGTCAAAACTTGTGATGTGTGAACATTTTTAAAATTTCGGGAAAAAATGGTATTGTAACGATGATGAAGATGGGAATGAACAAATATCACTAAATAACAATTCACCTCCCAAAGTATATTCACTTTCTATTCACATATTGGTTTTCATGTAAGGTTGTGAAAACATATAAATATTAGTTTGTTTTAGATATTTGTTTTCAAAAACAAATATGCATATTATTTATAGTTATTTGTAATCCTACTATAAATTGTCTGTACATAATGTTTTTCTAGAGTTATTAGGGTTTTCAAAGTACAATGTTATAACTGTATGTGTTTGTGGTTGTGTGTGTGACTGTATGTATATAACTGTCATGTGTTTGTATGGTTGTGTATGTGTAGCAAAAACAAAAAGGTACATGGCAATTTATATTTTTGCCACACATTCTACCTCTTTCACAACAAAGTCAAATTTCCCAAAAAAAAATATTGCTTAATTTCTCGCAACACACGAGCTTAAAACCATGGTTTAATAACAAAAGTCAAAAAATATTCCCACAAGTTTTACTTTAATGTACTTTTTTTCTATTTCCCCAAAAGTATCATCATTTTTTTCTAATATTTGTCAAAATATCACTTATCCAAACGACTAAATAATATAGAGAGCAATGCCTAAATAAGACTAGTTAGTATATATGTTAAACCAATTCATGCATACTAAAAAACATCCAATCTAAAAAAAGCAACTATTTATTTAAATCATACTACCCCTTTTTTAAAATGGCTCATACATAACATTCATATATACAAAACAGTAAAAGCCTTGTAAGTACAAACTTTACCAGAAAGTTAAATTCAAACCATTTTCCTTAATTCAAAAACTTCAACTTCCACAAGCCAAGCACTCATCACGATTCATCAAAGAACACACCATTTCAGACATTCCAGTATTCTTCTTATCTTCATCACTCACATTCTTCGGTTTTTCCTATACATTAAAACAAAAGACTTTGATTTATATTACAAAAATAAGTCACAAAAAACAAATAACAAACTCATTAAAAAAAACACCTTGAGCATGTCAGTATTAACAGTGAACTTAATTGCATCAGCTGCAGCACGTGAACGCAGATAATACATCCCTGTTTTCAGCCCCTAATATCAAACAAAACAACCATGTCAACAAATATTATACTTTAAAAATCTATCCAGTTATAGCATTGTACTTTCATAAATTTATTTGTTTAATAATAAAACAAATAATCAAAAAGTAGGTTGTTATTCCTTGCACTTAAAATACCTTTGACCATGCATGAAAATGTAAAGAAGTAAGCTTCCCAAAATTGGGTTGATCCATATGAATATTCAAACTTTGACTTTGGTCAATGTAGCATCCACGATCCACAGCCATGTCAACCAATGTCCTTTGCTTGATTTCCCAAACAGTTCTGATGCCACATCACCACTCAAAAAACATAAATACAATGCTATTTATTATATAAAATAAAAACTCAAAAATCATACTTGTAAATAGCCTTGAGATCTTCTGGAATTTCCATAATTTTCTGAACAGAACCATTCTCATAAATTATCTGATTCTTTACAGCAGGAGACCAGATCCCCATTTCGGTCAAGTCATGTAACAGATGCTTGTTGACCACCACAAATTCTCCACTAGAAAATTATAATAAAAAAATTATATAAACTAAATTTATTATGAAATGAATGAAATAAAAAAAAATACCTTAAAACCCTGCGACTGTAGATGTTAGAGGTATACGGCTCAAAACACTCGTTATTTCCAAGAATCTGGCTGGTTGAAGCAGTCGGCATCGGGGCCACAAGTAGGGAATTCCTGATTCCATTCCTGGATATCATTCCACGAAGGGCATTCCAGTCCCATAAATCTGAAGGTGTTACTCCCCACATGTCTGGTTGCAGAACTCCCTACGAGAGTCAAAAAAAGAAAACATTTGTTTCGTTTAAAGGAATGGAATCGACAATTCTAATCGGAATGGAATGTGATTCCGTTCATTTTGTTACCTTGCTAACAGGACTTCCAACATATGTTTCATATGTGCCTTCTTTTTCAGCTAACTCACAAGAAGCTTTTAGGGCATGGTAGTATATTGTTTCAAATATGTCCTTGTTCAACTGTTGAGCCTGTAATTTTGAATAAAGAGAATTAGTATAAAAGAAAAAAAAACATTTATCATATTTTGAGATTTATAGGATAAAAAAGAAGAAATGGATTGGATTACCTCTGGTGAATCAAATGTCATACCAAGTAATATAAAAGTATCTGCAAGACCTTGGACTCCAATACCAATAGGCCTATGTCTAAGATTTGATCTTTTTGCAGTTTCAACAGGGTAATAATTTACATCAATAATTTTGTTGAGGTTTGTAGTAATAGTTGATGTCACCTGGTTTAATAATTAAGATTTAAGAATTAAGATAGTGAAAAATTAATTATCTTTTTAAAAGAAGTAAGAAAAATATGATAACAAGAAACTAAACCTCTGCTAGTTTTTCAAAATCAAAGTAGCGATTGCTAGAACCTCTGCTGCCAACAAGCTTTGATGGTTGGGATTCTGCTGGAACGCCCTACAAGAGGGCATAAAAGGAATTTCAGAAGAGAAATATTGACAGGGTTTAAGAGGGTATATCAGTCATTTTACCTTTTCTCTGACATATCGTGGTAATGCAATTGATGCAAGATTACATACAGCAGTTTCTGTTGGACTTGTGTACTCGATAATCTCAGTACATAAATTTGAAGACTTTATGGTGCCAAGATTCTGCTGGTTGCTTTTTCTATTACATGTATCCTAAGAAGAAACAGTTTTATTAAGAATTTTTAAAAAATATAAAAAAAAAAAAAACCATAAATACCATATAGTATTAAAAACAAAATACCTTGAAAAGCATATAAGGGGTTCCAGTTTCAATTTGGGATGTGAGAATTTCAAACCAAAGATTTTGTGCCTTGACAACTTTTTTTGCTTTCCCCTGTTTACACAAGAAAAATACACCATTATTCAATCAAATTAAACTTCAATAAAAAATACAAATTTTCATTAAAAAAAAAAAAAAAAATCAGGCATTACAAGTTTTTCATATTGGGTGTATAGTTTTTCAAAATCTTGACCCCAACAATCAGCCAAACCAGGAGCCTCATTTGGACAAAATAAAGACCAATCTCCATTACTCTGGACTCTTTCCATAAAAAGATCAGGTATCCAAAGTGCATAAAACAAATCCCGGGCCCGCTGTTCTTCCTGCATAAATTTTAAATACAATTTTTTTTATAAACTATTTGCATATCATCAGAAAGTGACCAAATTTGCTACCTTTCCATGGTTCTTCTTTAAATCAAGAAATTCAAAGATATCAGCATGCCATGGCTCCAAGTATACAGCAAAAGCACCTAGATTTAATGAAATGAGTTAATAAATTTAGGAAAGAAACAAAAGGAAAAGTCAACAGTCAACAGGATTACATACCTTTCCTCTTGCCACCTCCTTGGTCAACATAACGGGCAGTATCATTAAACACACGCAACATTGGAACAATACCATTTGATGTTCCATTTGTTCCACGTATGTAGCTTCCAGTTGCACGAATATTATGAATAGACACTCCAATTCCTCCTGCTTGTTTGCTAATAATAGCACATTCCTTTAACGTGTCATATATAGCTTCAATGCTATCATCTTTCATGCAAATCAAGAAACAGCTACTCAACTACAAACCACATTGTTGAAACAATGTGAAAAAACATGAAAAACGTGCATATCGTGACTAAAAAGGAGCTTTTCTTGATGGTGTTGAGTTTTGTTACTTGGGGTTTTGGTGTTCCTGCATTGAAAAGGGTGGGAGATGCATGTGTGAACCATCTTTGTGACATTAAATGATATGTCTTGATAACAGAATCAATATCATTCTTATGAATTCCAACAGCAACCCTCATTAACATATGCTGAGGTCTTTCAACAACCTTTCCATGGATCTTCAGGAGATAAGATCTTTCAAGAGTTTTGAAACCAAAATAATCATAGTCAAAGTCACGATCATATATAATCTCACTGTCCAGCCTAGCAGCATGCTGAAACAAAGAAGTTACAAACAGTTACTACCTTTAATCCTTTAAAGTAGAGACATATTACAAAGTCATAACAATAAAAAAATTAAATGGGATATAATAGTGTGCTTGTAAACACTTTTCACCTTCATTATGATTTCATAAACATCATCCGCAACTAGGGGTGCCTTCTGCCCAGATCTCTCACTTACATAGTTGTACATATCCTTGATTCTGCAGTGACAATGGAAGTTACACTATGTTATAATGCAGAGAATAACAAGGTACACCAGAATAAGAGATGAAGCAACAATCATATTTTAGATCGGCACACCTAGATAGACAAGATAGTGCTATGAATTTTGGTATACACTAGTCTAAATTGACTTACGTTTCGGAAAATGATTTTTTGGTGTTCTTATGCAGATTTGACACAGCAATCCTTGCAGCCAACTGTAAGAAGAATGAGAGAAATTCAATTGTGTACAAGTATCAAATCCATATAGCCAAATAATTAACAGTGGAATTTTATCGACACCAAAAAACCTCTGACAGGAACAAATTTGCATGATTGCAACAATCAAACAAAAAAAATGAAAACTAAAAGATAGCAAGTGTTTTGATAGAAAGAGAACAGGGTTTGAATGAATACTTACAGAAGCATAATCAGGATGGTTGGCAGTCATGCCGGCGGCGGTTTCTGCGGCGAGTTCATCTAACTGGCTGGTGGTTACACCCTTATAAACACCAGCACAGACCTTCTGCGAAACAAGAACAGGGTCACAATGATCGATACTGAGTCCATAACTCAATTTCTTCAGTCGGGCTGTGATTTTGTCGAAATGCACAGCCTCTTGACGCCCATCTCTCTTCACCACATACATGTTTTAGCACAGATTATAACTAAGCTAACCAACAGCAGTATGCTAGCAAGCGATGATTGTAGATTTGTAGTCTGGAACACTGTGTCTGTGTGGAAGAAAAAGAAATGGGATGTATTTGAATATAGCAATTAGGGTTTCCCTCCAGTTGGATAGCGCGGGCTTATTGGATTGGGTGGGAGAATTCCCAAATTGTTTTATAAACTAGACAAAATTACATAAACGGTCCACGTGGTTTAATAAATTCAGTCTTTTGCTAATTTTTTTTTTACTAACATGGTCTTTTTGGTTTTCAAAATTTGCATAAATTGATTTTTTTTTTTTCTAAGACCGTTAGTTTTCATTCGGTCAGTGTCAGGGTAGTTTAGTATTTTCACGTACATAGACTAAGTTTGTGACATGAGTAAACCATAAAGACTATTTATATATATTTTTTATATTTTAATGTTTATGAGTTTTTGGTTTTCCACACATTACTTTTTAAAATGTCACTTTAACTTCTTCACTTTGAATTTTATAAAATGTTATTTTCACTCTTTATTTTTCTAAACTTTTGTGTTTATTCATTGTAGTATATATAATTCGATTTTCCATAATAACTTTCATTTATTAGCCTAAAAAAATTATACCGACACGCACATAAAATAAAATAAATAAGTTTTTCTTTTAAGTTAATGAACGAATGTTCTAAATTTACGTCGAATAAATCAAAACGTTTACCTTCTTGAATTTATACTGACACATACATAAAAATAAACACGTAAAAAATTAATTTTTTAAGTTAACGAACAAAAGTTGTTATATGTGGTGCGGCTCATACGTATGAATCGTATATAAAATTAAACATAAAAACGTTAAAAAACGTCGAAACATAGACAAACTCGAATCAATATGTTTTATTAAGTTAACAAACGAAAATTATTATATGTAACACAACTCGTTTGTAGAAAACATACATAAAATTAAGAACGAAAACATAAAAAAAAATTATGTCGAAACGTGGGCAAACTCGAATTTAAATGTCACGTTTATAAAAAAACAAGTTTTTTTTAAATAACGAACGAAAGTTCTAAATTTACGTCGAAACGTTGACCAACTTGAATATATATATATATATATATATATATATATATATATATATATATATATATATATATATATATATATATACACCCAAGTAAAAAATATATTTTTTAGACTAACGAACAAAAGTTACTAAGGAAAATCAAAATATATATATAGTGTCGGGGGTAATGAAAGTTTAGAAATTTGAATGGTGAAAATAACATTTTATAAAGTTCAAAATGAATAGGTTAAAGTGACATTTTAAAAAGTAAATAGGTGGAAAAGACACAAGCTCATAAACATAAAATATAAAATATAAAATAATTACGTAAATGGTCCATATGTTTATTCATGGTCACAAACTCAGTCTCTGCTACCTGAATAATCAAATTACCCTCACACTAACCAATGAAAATTAAAGATGTTAGTAAAAATGATCGTTCATGCAAGTTTTGGAAACCACATGGACAATGTTCATCAAAAAAATTAGCAATGACTGAATTTGTGATTTTTGACAAACCACATAGACCATTTATGTAATTTTGTCTATAAACTATGTTCAAATAATAATTCAATTTTTTTCTAGAAAAGCTTTACAAATAATATACAAAAAGTCAATAACAGAGTATTAAAGGAAACTAATAATCTGTGTTTGATATAAATGGCAATGGTTTTAGACTTTAATTGCTAGCTAGATTGACATCTTTTCTGATTATATTTAATTGTTAAATTATATGAGGAACAAATCATGGTTATTTTCATAGAAATTTATTAGTGATATCCATATCCATATGAAATAATACTCTACAATTACATTCTTGAGATTGAGATGCATGGCACATACATAAATGTTGTCAATAACTTGAGATTGAGATGCATGGCACATACATAAAATTGTTGGCATAATACGTTTATAATTTTTAATGCTACAATCATATAAAACATGAATTGCATATGCCTTATAAATGGAAAACATGCACATACATAAAAACATGTAAAATGATATCACTATCACCTATAATGATTTCAAAACAAAAACATAACAACATTCATGCAATTTGCGTGAAATTTATAGAACTCAACTGTGAAATATTTTAGTTCATTAATTGTCATGCACTCATGTTATGTATCTCATTTAGTAATCTATAACTAACTTATTACTTTATCTAGATTAAGCATAGAGCAAAAAGATTTAGCCTAAACTGGTATGATAGGTGTTATTCTCTTATTAATGCTTCTAACAGCATCTTGCTAGTCGTTCTTGTTTTTTTATAAAATCCTTACATTGATCTAAATAATTTTATATCATTTCTAAGGTATCTGTAACACCCACAATTGATGCTAAATTTTTTACCTTTAAGTGTAAATTTTATTAAATAAATCAATTTTTTATTTGAAATAATTATAATTAATTAAATGGTTTATTTAAAAGGTTGGAATTTAAGCTTAAAGATAATAAATTATTTTTCAAGATTATAAAATCTAGATGAAAACTTCTCAAAGGTGAAAACCAAAAATTTAGGAGATCTGAAAGTAGATTTTTATTTTATGACATTAGCTTTGTTGTTTAAGTTGAGAAATTTTGGCTAATGGATATATGGAAGGATGCAAGAGTATTAAATTGATCTAAATGATTGGAATATATTTATAACGAACTGAGTTTCGGCCTAAAACTATGTATCAGGCATACCATGTGTTTTGAGCCCATTTTAAATATTAGTCCATTATATACATTACACCTAATTATTAAAACTAAGGGGGTTTCTTGCGAAAGGTGTTGCACATTTGATCCATAATTATTGTTAGGGAAAATGACTCTTGAGGGTAATTAACTTTTGCGTTTGTACTCATTTGGTCCCTTTCCTTTTTTTTGTATTCAATATACCATCGAACTTGTTGTTTGTGTTCATCATAACCCTTTTGACCGACTTTTGACCTGTGATAGCCGGTCAAAGGGTTATGGTGAACACAAACAACAAATTCGATGGTATATTGAGTACAAAAAAAAGGAAAGGGACCAAATGAGAACGAACTCAACAGTTGGTTACCTTCCTGAGTCATTTTCCCCGAAAAGTTAAATGAAATTAAAGTTGCAAAATTATCAAATACTGCAACCTTCTTTGGCTATAACGTCTATGAAGAGTGTTTCAAAGGGGTAACCTTGTTAAAACATGGTCTATGTTATGCTTACTGTGGTTAGCTGTCAACACCTCTCTGCAAAAGGATATGACTGTGTATGAGAGGTATATTTATCAGCATAAACGTTTACCTCAAGGTATATTATGGTGATGTGTCTACAAAAACAACATGATATTGTACATATTGATGTTGTATCTTATCCCATGAATTCGATCTTAAAGCTAAGTAAACTTAAAAATCACAGCACTTGTGATTCCACTCGTTTGTAGACTTGTCTAGAATCCATGATACGGTAAATCATTTGATTGGAAATGTATATGTAGTCATGAAATCCGCCTGCTTAGTCCATATTCCCCTAATAAATATTCAAGTGCATTACAAAGTTGTACATGTATGAATAATGTTCTTTCGTGGGTTATGTTTTGAAGAGAAGCAAGAATGAATCTCATAAAGTCATTAATATCAATAGGAGATGACGGGGATTTGCTGTAAATGAGTAAAGGGAAAATGAATCAAGAGGGTAACCAACTGTTGCATTTGTTCTCATTTGGTCCATTTCCTTTTTTTTTACTCAATATACCATCGAACTTGTTGTTTGTGTTCACCATAACCCTTTGACCGGCTATCACAGGTCAAAAGTCGGTCAAAAGGGTTATGATGAACACAAACAACAAGTTCGATGGTATATTGAATACAAAAAAAAGGAAAGGGACCAAATGAGTACAAACGCAAAAGTTAATTACCCTTAAGAGTCATTTTCCCTTATTGTTACTCCAATTAAGTACTCTAGGGGGTTTGTACCAACTTCGACTTGGTTCTTTGTCATCTTTGACACCAATAACTTGTTTTCATGCAACACTACATATATATTGCTATTCCAGTTAAGTACTCTAATTTGTTAAACGTAAGTAAATCAGTAGTTTATTGACCTCATACTATAGAATTCACGCAAGAATGTGATGGAAGTCAATTATCACTCAGTACTATTAAATACTAGGTTAAAGTATCATGTATATGGTACAAATCAACTTTTAACACATCACTTGAACTGCATATTACTTAGTATAGACTAACAAAGACCTACCTTCTTGAGTCTGGAAACTCTATCAACCTCTATGTTGGATCTTGAATTACATCAATGTAACTTCAACTTCGATACAATTGAAGTATTATATCACTGTCTTCAATATTCCCAAGTCCGAAAGCCATAAATGATTTCATCTGATTGTATTGACAACTCATGGACTTCTTTTGTGTATCGGTTATACATTATCACGTCTAATGTACTAATATGTTTTTTAATATTCTTACTTAATGTCGTAATAAGTAGGACAATATCTTTAAACTTGCCCAGGATAGCATATACGACATAAATCCTATAGTATGTTAGAGCAGGTTTTCAAATAATACCAATTAAGGTATGCAACCTAAGGCATGTTATAACATAAATCAATTATCACATAATAACAAATTAGCCATCTACTCTAAACTATGTTATCATACTCATCTTCAAATAATAGCAAGTAAGATACACAACTTAAAGCATGTTATAACACATATTAGTCAACACATAGCATATAAGGTATATATTGTAACATCATATTTTTTCATTTAATTTTTTTTCTTAACCTCTGATCGATCGACGCACGAGGAAGGATAAGAAATTGATTTCTTTTTTTTCTTTAGCTAACGAAGGCACACACTCACACAAATAGGATATAGAAATCGATTTCTATTGCTTGTCCCTTAATAAAATTAACAACGTACGCAACGAAATGGATGTAGCCTTTATGATCCTTAATCACGTCGATTAGGATCATGGGTTTTTTTTTTGCAATTAAGCCCCTCAAGAGTGTAACATTCAGTTCAGGTGAGCAATTGTCAAGTTTAAAATTTTAAAGGTTCTAACCCTACTCACGACGTGAGTTATGTATGTCATGTCGGGAGGAGGTTAGTGCA